ATGGTGATGGACAGCCGGTGGCATTGCTGCGTTTGTTAGAAGAGCAACATTTCGGCCAAAGGTCAGCTGGCGCCTACAGACAACATGATGGTAGCACACCTGGAAGCCTTCGGCGCCAAGCCCACAGTCCTGCGCTGCACCCCAGGCCCCCTACCTGGCCGCCCCGCAGTTGACGTCGCCAGCGCGAACGCCCCCCTTGTGGATTGCTCCTGGAACCTTCGCTGCGGGCAAGCACTTCCGCTGCGGCCAGTGGAAGTGCCGATGCGACCGTTTCCCAAACGACGTCCCCCCAAGGCACTGGCAATGCGGCGACGCACCGCTTGGCACATTCCTCCTTTCGCCTTGGGAAGGAAGCCCCGATCGAGCTCTTCCACGGGCTCCCGCCCTTTCGCGCTCGGGCGCAAATGTTCGCCATTTGCAATGCAACCTGGTTCTGCGAGCACAGGTCCCCCTCTTCTCCGTGGGCCGGGGAAAGGTCAAGGTCTGGGAGCGCCCGCTTGCCCCAGGGCTTGTCCCGCGGCGCGCTGTCAGGAATTCCTCGCCACCATCTACGGCGACTTCATCCCGCCGTCGGGGCTTCTCCCAGGTGCCCAGTGGGGCGGTGAGCGCGCTGGCTGTCTCTGCTGGCGAGTCACCTCCACCGCCAAAGGCGCCGCGATTCCTCCAGCGGAACCAGCGGGCCCGACGACTGGGGCGCGTGCCGCATCAAGCACGACTCCCCGGCGTCCACGATAGGACAAGACCCCGCGCGGTACGGCCAGGAGATATTGCTCGGAGCTTGAGGGGCGCAACGAGCCTCCCGGACCCTCAGATCGCCGAGTTTTGAGCAATCGCGGCGGGAAGGAGGCAGATCCTCTCAGTCGCCGGCGGCAGCGCCCCCCCGCGCGCCGCGGGCGGAGGGGCCAGGGCGGGCGGGCGGAGGGGGCGGCCGGCCCAACGGTCCTGCTCTGAGCGCTTGCCGCCGCCCCCAGCCACCCTAAGGCGCGAGGCAAACGAGCAGCTCGACTGCAGCCCCGCCCCCCGTCGCGGAGGCCCCGGTCGTCGCCCGGCGGCAGCGAGGACGGGCGCGCGCGACCGTCCGAGGCGCCCGACGACCCCCCGGGTGCAAGTCGCAAGCGGCGCGACAGCAGCTACAGCACCCCCGCAGCGTCGCGCGCCCGCTCCAACACAGCTGGCTGCGACTGGGGCCCGCAGGAGCGACGCCCTCCAGACGGCCCCGCGCTCAGCAATGAGACGAGATGCGGCCCAGCCCGAGCAGCTCCCCGCGGGCAGGCGCTGCGGGCCGAGCCGTCCGACGGGGGCGCTCCGCGAGGCGCCGGAGAAGAGTCTGTCCGCGAGACCCCCCGCGCCGATGAGCAGCGCAGCCCGGGGCCTTTCAGGAGGCGTCGCGGAAGCGACGCCGCGGAGCGGGCCCAGCCACGGCGTGATTGACTTCCCATTTCGCGCCTCTGTCCCCCCTCGCGACTGCGCCCCCATCGCGACGCCTCGGGCCAGTTTAACTTCCAGCCGCGGCGAGAGGTGCGGTGGCAACCTGGCTGGAACTATAACACTAATAAGGAGGAGTCCTTGCAGGTGGTGGTCGACCGCCTCAAAAAGGAATGCGGCCTCATGCTGGCGATTGGCTGGGGCGCCATGTGCAGCCGCAAGTTGGGGGCGGCGATCGCCCGGGCACCCCGGCAGGCACTCCTGCGATTTCTGTGAAGGCTCGGACTCTGGCCCCATCCAGGCCAACTTCGATGTGCGCACCCGCTGCTGGTATAAGGACATCCGCGTCGACTGGGGTGCCGAGTGAGAACGTGGCATGGGAAAGAGGAGGCGCGGCGCGCAGGCCGCCGACGGCAATTGGAAGGGCCCCCCCTCAGGGGAAGGGCATGCGCCCTGCCCAGCAACGATCCCTCGCGCCAAAGGTGGTCCGGGGCGCGCACTCAGTACTGGCGGCTGCCCGCCCGCATGGCAGGCGCGCCTGCTTCGACCAGTTGCGACTGGGCCAGGTGCCTCTTGCCCGCTCGGGGTCCGCTTGTCCGATTCGGCCCGCTGGTGCTTGTCGCCACTTCCCCCTTGCTGCGAGGCGGGTTGCGGCCCGTCTGGCCACCTGCCCCGCCCTGCTCCGCGCCCCCGGCCCGTGGTCTCCCTGGCCGTCGGCTCGCCATCCTGCCTTTCCTCTCTCCTCCATCTGGGCTGGCGGCCCCTCGCCTGCTGGACACCCCTTTTAACGAATCGCTGCGCCTATTCGGCGCCCCCGCCCCCGCGCGCCCCCGGCCGCCGCCGAGGGCTGCGCTTGTGCCCTGGCCGCTTGGCCTGCTGCGCCCCAGGTCCAGCGGTTGCAGCCTTCGTCAGCGCTGCCACCCGCGCCCCGCCCTCCTTCCTGGGGGCGGCCGCTGCGCTTGCCGCCGACGGGCTGGCTTTGCCGCCCGCCGTTGGCTCCCGCGCGCCTCCTCTGGCCGCCTTGGCCGCCCCCCCATGCGCTAGTGGGTGCCCTGCCCAGCCGCTGCGCCCCCTGCCCTGGCAGGGTGGATCGCTGGCCTTCCGCGGGTTTTGCCCAGGCGCCGCCTCTGGCTTCCACCGCAGCTTTCTGTCGCGCCCCCCGCTGGGCTGGCCGACCTTGGCCGCTTCTGGTCGGGCCATCGCCTCGCAAGCTTGGTTTTCAGGACGGCCTTTCGCCTGCGCGCCGGCCGCCCAGGTCTGTGCGCGCTGCAGCGCAGCCGCGGCGCCTTGGCGCACTGCCCGCCCCCGCTCCCCGCGCTTCGCCGGCCACCAGATCTCGACGCCCACCTGCCTTAGTCGCTGGGCCCTCGCCAGCGCCGCTCTGCCCCCACGTGGGTGTGGTCCTCTCAGCTTTCCGTCGCGTGATATGTCAATTTCTCCGTGCGCGCCGACTCTTGCCCTTCATGTTCAGCCCCCATCAAGTTCTGCCATCGCGGGCTGTTCTGGCACTTGGCAGGTCCAGCAAGTCTCAGTGCTAGACCTTTCGCATGTTTTGTTTTCCCTCCCTTGGGCTTTGCCCGGCCGTCATCGGGCTGTCTTCCCCCCAGCAGCTGCCTGGCGCCGCCGCTGGCTTCCCCCCCCCGCGCCCGCCCCGCCGCCGTTGGGACTTGCCCGAGTGGGCCCGGCTTTCTCTGTTCCCGCCCGCGCCGAGTTTTTTCTTTCCTCCCCCCGCGCGCCGTGGCCCAATTTGTTTTTTCTGCGCCCACTCGTGCCACATCGCCGGAGCACTAACCTCTGCTCAGCCGCCGACGCAGAAAACGCGGGCGTTTGTTAAGACGGGGGGGTGGTACATTTTCCCGAAAAAGGATGTTTGGAGCCAAGATCCAGGATGTAGTACTTGGGTGTTCTTGGCTCGGTATGTATGCTTTTGGTTACGTGTGGCTTTTGTTGCGTGTCCTGAGGCCTCTGGAAACTTCGGGGTCTCCCAGGGTGGGAAGACGGAGGACGGAGCGGACAGGAAGGACGCGCAGTTAATCACATGCTTTACGTTTTTTTTTCTTTCCCTTTGCCCTTTTTTTCCGTGTGCTCCTGCTAGTGCTGGCTCTCCTTCTTAACTGTTGCGGTTCAGGGGGTTGTTTTAGCCTTGGTTGCACGCCAGATTTTGGCTTCTTACTTAGGTACAAGTGACACATGCACACACATCACATGTGAAAGACTAGATTCTCACACGTAGAATATGCCCGACACCATGATGATTAAGCTGTTGAAATAGAGGCAGGATGGAGGGACTTCGGAGGGAGGGTGGAAGGAGAAATGGGTATTTTGGGGAGGGAGGAAGGAAACGTAGTTTCCAGACGCTTCGTGTCACCCAATCAGCCCATCCAGCACCCGATGACCAGGCGAGTTGCCTTGACCACGGATGTGGAAGAGCATGCAGTGTAATACATGGCAATGGATCCGTCATATTCCGAGAGAGGTAGAATGGAGGAGGAGGAGGGAGGGGGAAAGAGGGAGGAGGGAGGATGAGAAATTGGCTGATGAGGAAGCGGAGGAGGAGGATGAATGGGCCAGAAACCTCTTGGATGATTCTCGGAGTCTCTTCGGATGTCTCTTGAGAGCCTTTCAGAGTCCTTTTATGGGCGTCTTGGGGGCCTTTAAGCTGTCCCGGGGGCCTTGGAGCGTCTTGGGCGCATCGAGGAGCCTCTTGGGGATCTCTTCGGATCCTCTTGGGGACCTCTCGGGGCCCTATTGGGGCCTCCTGGGCACTCTTGGAAGCCTTGGGAACCACCTTGGGGCCATCTAGGAGGAGATCGATCACAGCAAGGAGGTCTCCAATCAGCCTTGCCCCTCCAGGAGACCCAAATTTGTTCCGTCTCGCTGAGGCCCTCTTGGAAGAATATGGGTTGGAACAGGAGACGCTCTAAACCACCTAAGCCCTAGAGGGCTGGTTGGGTTCGGAGGAACGAACGAGGGGGAGTTGGACGGGGAGGGAGGGAGGAGGGAGGAGGGAGGGAGGGTGAGGATGAGGAAGCGATGGATGGGGGATGGGGGGGACGAGGGACGGGAGCGGGAAAGAAAGAGAAGGGGAGAGAGGGGAGGGATGGAAAGGCAGGATCGATGGAGGGATGAGGGAATAAACGGGAGCAAGAGGGGGGACGAACGGGGAGGAGGGAGGCGAGGGAGGGATAAGGACAAGCTAAGGGTGTTCGCGCCACATCTGACGCCCTACGTCTCCCATCCCCACCAATCCCTTCCTTACGTTGGTCCTGTTCAATCCGCCGACTGGGGTGTCTTATATACCCTTTATCCTCACATTGTGGCTCCATAATTCGACGTATCATTTGCTGCTGAATCGGGAAGAGAGGACAGTTCTACATTGGAGGAGAAAAACGCTGTCACGGGCGTTATCGCGAATATTACAAGAAGGGCTCCAGTAGTTGGCCCTCTCTCCTTACCGTCCCATCCTCCCTGGCGCGCAGTTGTTATGCCGAGCATCTGGAGGGATGGCCGTGGCAGGAAGAGCAAGGGATCCCCGACGTACCCGATGATGCCCTTGATGATGCCCTTCGGCGACAATGACAGCGGGGTTGGGCTGGAGGAGGAGGAGGTGAAGGAGAAGGAGGATGGGCGAGGACGAGCTTCCCGCGCAGTCTCGCGCGCTCCGCAGGAGGGATGGCGGGAGGGTGGAGGGAGGGGGTGCAATGGGGCAAGCTATATATGTGAGCGCGCCACGTCTGGCATCCTACCCCTGAAACCCATCCTTTTTCATTGCGAAGTTTTTCTCTATTGGCCAATTGTTGTCCTAGCGGGTTCGGATCCCCCGAATGACCCCATCGTGCGATGCGAAATCAGAAAGGGGACCTCTGTACAATGGAGGATGAGGTGGCGGATGAGCATTAGGCTGATCAGGAGAAAGAGAAGGGTGATGAAGGATGCGGAGGAGGAACAGCATCAGCAGGGAGGAAGAGGAGCGAGAGGAGCATGAGGACCAGGGAAAGGTGGATGAGGGGAAAGAAGGGCGGGCTCGCGCGGAGGTGAGAGCGCCACTCTCAACGACTGTCTAAAGCGCCGATTCTGAGACAAGGCCAACGCTGCAGCGGGAGCACCGTATTTGAAGGACCGAGAATCTTCCGATCACAAAACGGGCATGTGGAACACCACTGCGAAGCACCCGACACATTCCGGTGGTGTCAACACGTGCAGCACATGACGCGCCGACACCGTGCGGGTTTGAAGAGCACAGTGTGCGGGAGGAGCGGCGCCCCGCTCGGCCCCAGAGCCCGAGCAGAGTGGAGCGTCGCATTTTTGCTGAGCAGTGCACTGTCCGACGCGAAAGGGGAGGGCGTGGACTGCATGAGCGGACCGTGCTGCTCCCACGCGGCATTCCGAACTTCATCCCCGGGGCCGCTCAGCGCTGTCGTTCTCTCGCGAACTAACTTAGCTTCGCCCGGTGCGGGACTCGTCGTCTCTCGTAATTTACTTGTCGGGTCCGAAACTTGCCGTTTTCTGAGTTTCGCTTGCACGTGTCGCTGGGACAATATTGTTATGGTGAGGAGGGAGGGCGGGATCGGAGCCATGGGGCTTCGGATGGGCCCAGGAGGCGGATGAGGAGGATCGGGGAGCAAACAATGACATAAACAAGAATTTGGAGGTCCGCGCAGATTTCTCGGATCGGCGCTGGAACCCACTGGCGGCGTCCAGCGCCGATCCGAGAAATCCGCGGGGGCCTCCGAGTTTTTATGTTTACGTCGTTGTTCGTTTCCCTCGAGGAAGGTACTTTCTCGGGGGGGGGGGGGGATTTCGACGCTGAGTAAACTGGGAGCCTGTCAGCAGAGGCCAGCACGCAACTCGCACCATATCAGAGAGCTAACCAATCTGCTGGAGCACCAAGGTTGAAGACAGGCAGGCAGCCAGTAAGGGGGGGGTGATGGGAGGGAGGTACCACCACCTGCTACGGAGGGCACGGGGCTGGCCGATCTTGCCCTCAGCCCGATGAGCCCAGGCTTGGGGCCTCACGGTGGTATCGTCCCTCTTCGGCTCGCTGCTCCGCAGAGGAGGGGGAGGAGGGGGGGCGGGGCTCTGCAGGCCCCAGGGGTCTCCAGAGGCATCCGGCGGCCAAGGAGATTCAAGAGACAACTAAAATACGAGTTGGTGCTGCTGTTGCTCTTCCTCCTCCTCCTCCTCTTTGAGGAGGGGACAGAGGAGAAAGGCCAGAGATCTGGCCCACGATTTCGTGATGTTGGCCCCCATACCTCTCGACCCCTTCGTGGGAACCGTTCTTCATCCAGAGCAGTTCCCAACCATCCTGTGGTGTCGGGTCCTCGTTTTGACGAGACGGTCACCGCGCCCCCACCTCTCCTCCTCCTCCTCCTCCTCCTCCTCCTCCTCCTCCTCCTCCTCCTCCTCCCGCTCCTCCCTCCTCCCACCTTTGCCTCTGCCCTCCACATGTCAACCAGTTCGGCATTCCCGTCAGTCCCCTCACTTTAGCCCACACCCCTTACACGTTTCGTGGCCCAATAGGACGGCTCCACGGAAGGTCCCAGTGGCTGCGCCCACATGCCGCCACCTCCTTCACTCTTACACACCTCTCGCACGCTTCGTGGCCCCATCGGGCGCTCACCCAAAGGCCCCAGTGGCTGGGCCTGCATGCCGCCACCCCCCTCACTCTTCAACACCTCTCACACGTTTCGTGGCCCCATAATGAGAGCTCCACCGAAGGCCCCAGTGGGTGCGCCCGCGTGCCGCCACCCCCATCACTTTGGCACGCCCCTCAGACTCTCCGTAGCCCCATATGGGGGCTCCACGGAAGGCCCCAGTGGCTGCGCCCGCATGCCGCCGCCCCCCTTCATTTTGGCACATTCGTCACACGTTTCGTGGCCCCGTAGGGGGCTCCACCGAAGGCCCCAGTGGCTGCGCCCACATGCCGCCGCCCCCATTCACTTTTGCACACCCCTCGCACTTTCGGTGGCCCCATAGGGCGCTCCACGGAGGGCCCCAGTGGCTGGGCCCGCATGCCGCCACCTCCCTCACTTTGGCACACCCCTCACACGTTTCGTGGCCCCATGGGGAGCTCCACCGAAGGCCACAGTGGCTGCTTTCGCATGCCGCCACCACCCTCACTTTTAACTTCGCTCACACGTTTCGTGGCCCCATGGGGAGCTACACCGAAGGCTTCAGTGGCTGCGCCCGCATGCCGCCACCCCCCACTTTGGCGAACCCGTCACAGGCTTCGTCGCCCCATAGGGAGCTCCACGGAGGGCCCTCCCCTCAGTGGCTGCGCCCACATGCCGCCACCACCTTCAATTTGGCACACCCTTCAGAGGTTCGTAGCCCCATAGGGAGTTCCACCTACGGCCCCAGTGGCTGCGCACGCATGCCTCCCCCCCTCACTTTGGCATACACCTCACACGTTTCCTGGCCCCATAGGGCGCTCCACTGCAGGCCCCAGTGGCTGCGCCCACATGCCGCCCCCCTCACTTTGGCATACACCTCACGTGTCATGGCCCCATCGGGCGCTCACCCGAAGGCCCCAGTGGCTGCGCCCCCATGCTTCCACCACCTTCACTATGGCACACCAGGCCCCATGGGAAGCTCCACGGAGGGCCCCAGTGGCTGCGTTCGCATGCCCCCCCCTACTGTGGCACACCCCTCACACTTTTCGCGGCCCAACAGGGCTCGACCGAAGGCCCCCGTGGCTGCGTTCGCATGTCGCCATCCCCATCACTTTGGCACATCCCTCACACGTTTCATAGCCCCATAGGCGGCCCCACCTGAGGCCCCAGTGGCTGTGCCCGCATGTTATCTCTGGTGCCTGTCAGCCGCAACGGGTTACATCAGCATGTCGTTCGTTTCGTCTGACTTCCGCACCCCCTGAGGGCGACCCCAGCGGCCGCGCCCTCATGGCGGCCCCGCCCCATTTCGGCGTCCTTCGCCAGCATGACTGTTTGACCGCTTGTGGGCCCGAAGGGGCCTCCAAGGGTCCCAGACATGAGGGAACACCTGGCCGTCTCGTTTTGTTCAGCGGCGAAGCAACGCTGCAACACACATCCCCGTCCCAAGTCCCGTCCGCGTAAGTCCGTGCAAGTGTTCCTTTCCATTGCGTGAAGCGCCCCCTCTCGAATGACGAGCGTCCGCCTGCCACTCAGGCGAGACCCCGTTTCTGTGAAGGATTCACCCTCCATTCTGCATCTACGGAAACGCCAATAACTATACTGATACTGCTTGAGGCAATGTCCAGGGATGGCCCCGCCCCGAGAACGAAATGGCATCCTTTCGTATAGTATTGCACGACTTCGAATTCCTAGTCTTGTAATTTCTGGAAGTCTCAAAGCGACAGCTCCAGTTTGAAAAGGAGCCGCCCTCCACCCATGCAATGTTTGCACACATTGGAACTTCGGATCATATAGTTTGAGGAAGTCTCAACGAGCGAAGGCCATCTGGGATGGCAAACTATGCGCCCTCCAAAGTATGAGCCAGCTGAGTGCCAGACTGGTCGCCAGGGGACTCAATGGCGTTCTCTCGGATGACTGCTTGATCGCTCGCGTCTGCTTTCCGTGCCCTCGCGGTTGCACGCCGCGACGCGTGTCGACAGGACAGGGGAAGGGTCGTGGGGGATGGGGGGAGGGGGGCAAAATGGGGGGGAGTTTGACGACGCTACAGCAGGAGCGTGGAGCTGCCTCCGCGGACGGCCTGGCGTACGGCGCGACGCCTCCTCCACCCCCTCGGTTTTGTCCTCCCCCTTCCTCGGTTCCCGTCCGTCGCATTTGCGGTCGAGTGTGGACGCGCGATTGTTTATTTGCGTTTCGGGGTGCGCGCGCGCACCCTATGAGCGCGCCGCGCACGTTCACAGTGCGCGCATCTTCTACGCAGGCGCCGGCAGCGGTGGCATTGTTGCAGCCGCTGGTGAGCGTGGGGCCAGGGGGGGGGGCACTGGGGTCACTGGCGCGTAATCGATGTACTGCCCCCCCCCTCTACCGACCGCCAGTTCGCGCGCCCCCGCGCGCGGAGGCGCGCGCGGGGGGGGCGAGACGGAGGGCCTGGGGGGTGGGGGGGAAACGTGGGGGGTGGTGATGACGGTGGTGACGGTGGCGGCGATGATGATGGGATGAAGGATGATGACGAAGGGCGGGAAGAAGGGCCATGACGGACAGGAGGAGGAGAAGGAGGAGGGGGATGAGGAGGAGAGGGAGGAGGAGGAGCAGGAGCAGGAGGAGGAGGGGGAGTAGAAGGAGGAGGAGGGCAGGGATGGAGATGATGTTGATGATGCTGTTGCTGTTGTTGCTATGTAATGCTGCTGATGCTAATACTCTACGACTGCTACTAGTACTTTTGAGACTCAAAAGCTTTCACATATGAGTAGTCAGTGTGATACTAGTATTTCTACTCATGCGAATACCAATACTACTAACCATGCTGAACCTACACATGAAGCTGCTGGTATTGATGCTGATGCTGATGCCGCCAATGCTGCTGCTGCTGATGGTCATGATACCGCTGCTGCCGATGATGATGATGCTGATGATGATGAAGATGAAGATGAAGACGATGATGATGCTGATGATGATGCCGATGATGCTGATGATGAGGATGATGAGGATGATGAGGATGATCATGCTGATGCTGATGATGCTGATGTTGATGCTGATGATGAGGATGATGCTGATGATGAGAATGGCGATGATGCTGATACTGCTAATGTTGATGCTGTTGATGATGACGATTATGGTGGTGACCCTCTTGATGATGCTGATGATGTTGATGCTGATGCGGTTGATGATGGTGCTGATCATGATGCTGATGATGCTGCTGATGATGACGATGATGATTGGGACGGGGATGGGGATGGTGGTGGTGGTGCTGCTGATGCTGCTGCTGACGACGACGATGAGGATGCTGATGCTGCTGATGACGATGATCATGATGAGGGTGCTGTTGCTGCTGCTGATGATGAGGAGGATGATGGTGGTGATGACAATGCAGATGCTGCTGCTTGTGATGATGTTGATTATGATGATGACGATGATGCTGATGATGGTGATGATGGTGATGATGATGCTGATGATGATGATGCTGATGATGAACATGATGATGAGTCGGAGGATGATGATGAGGAGGAGGAGGAGGAGTAGTAGGAGGACAACGATGCCTGTGGTGATGGTGGTGGTGGTTGTAATGACGAGGATGAGAATGTGTACGATTATGCTGTTGAGGACGAGAATCGCTTGTGGTGATGATGGTGTTGGTGATGGTCGTGGCGGTGATGGTGGCGGTGGTGATGGTGATGATATCGAGGATGATGACAGGGAACCTGAGGGTGTCGACGAGGACAATGATGATGAGGAGGAGGAGGGATGGATGGATGGACGAAGGGAGACAGAGGGAGGATGAGGATGAGGATGAGGATATTGATGATGCTGATGATATGATGATGATGATGATGATGATGATGATGATGATGATGATGATGATGATGATGATGATGATGATGATGATGATGATGATGATGATGATGATGATGATGATGATGATGATGATGATGATGATGATGATGATGATGATGATGATGATGATGATGATGATGATGATGATGATGATGATGATGATGATGATGATGATGATGATGATGATGATGATGATGATGATGATGATGATGATGATGATGATGATGATGATGATGATGATGATGATGATGATGATGCTGATGATGATGATGATGATGATGATGATGATGATGATGACGCTAATGCTGATGCTGATGCTGATGCTGATGTTGATGATGACGATGATGTTGAGGATGCGGATGCGGATGCGGATGCTGATGCGGATGTTGATGTTGATATTGATGCTGGTGCGGCTGATGCTGATGCTGCTGATGATGATGATGATGATGAGGAGGAGGAGATGCTGGACGAGGGATTGTAGGGGATAAGAGGGAGCCAGGAGGAATGGATGAGGGAGGAGGAAGGGATGAGGGAAGAACAGTAGGAACGAGGAAGGAACATGATGAGGAGGTAGAGGAGGATGAGGGACACAGGAAACAGTTGGCGGCGGAGGGAAGGCGCCCCCCTGTTTGAGAGTGGTGTTGCGATCCTCCCTTTTTTTCTCGTTCGTCATCCGTCCTCCCTCTTGCGTCCCCCCCCCCCTCTCTCCCATCTACCTCTTCCCCACTCCTTCCTCCTTCCTCCTCCTCCTCCGCCTTCTCATCGTCCTCCTTTCTTCCTCCCTCCTCCTTCCCTGCCTTCTGCCTCCCTCTCTTCCCGTTGCCCCCGCCCCTTCAACCTGGGTCCAGGCGTGGCCTGGGGCGCACTTGCCTGACAGCATCGCCGTCCAGGACCTCTTCGACGCCGCGAGGCTGGCCGGGAGCAGTCGTCATTGCTGCCGTCGGGGCGCGGTCAACAGCGAATCCCCTCTGATCCCCTCTGGCTTCCCCGGGTCACGAGCCATGTAGAGTCGACTCGCTCAGGGCTGAACCTAAACGGTGTTTTTCGTTTTCGTTTTATTTTCGTTTTCCCTCGTTTTGTCTTCAATCCACCTCTACCGCAAAACGAAGTCGAAACGAAAACGGCCCACGAAATCGCCAAAACACCGTTTAGGTTCAGCCCCTCGCTGACCTGGATCTGGGAGCTCCCTCGTGGCCGACCAAGGTCAGGCCGACCTGGGTTAGCGCTGACCTGGTTCCGCCCGCCCCTGATGCCGGCGCCGGCTGGTCTGGAAAGACTCGCGCCTTAGGTGTTTCGCCCCACTCGGGCCTCCAGAGGCCACTTCGGGGCCCCAGGGCCGCCAACAGACGGCCCAGGCTGAGGAGCTGGTCCTGGCGAAGTGGTCGAGAGGATTTCGGGGCTCGCGATTCGGGACAGATCGCCACCCCCGGCGTGCTGATTGCGGGCACGCGTTCCTGGTTCAGGGCTTGTGGTGTGCGACTTCGCTGGCGCCACCTCTTGCACCCGTCAGGCCTCGGGTCGCAGCTTGGGTTCCCGAGTTGTTTCCACGGCCTCTTTCGTGGTGCCCATGCGCCATATTGGCCGTGCTGCAGCTCCGGCTGCTCCTCGCACTTGTGCGTCCTGCTGCTGTTGGACCTCCTGGCCCCGGCCACCCTGGTACTTCGCAGCCTGCCGATGCTCGCGCCCCCTCTGGGCACCCAATTCGACCTACGACAGTCGTTTCACTTCGCTGCGGCCACCCTGGTACCGTCGTAGTAGTCTGGGGGCTTGCGCCCTTGCATCTAATTCCACGTCTGCTGCAGTCCCTGGTCGCCGGTCACCCTGGCCGCCAGCTGCTCCCGACGCGTTGCATGCGTGCACCCTGGCACTACTGTTCCCCAGTTTACCGCCCGCCTTTTCCCACTCGCCGGCCCGCCGCTGAGGTGCTGCGTGAGGCTCCGGCCCACCGCTTTAGGTTAATTCGTCTTTGCGCGCCCCGCTCTGACTGGACTCGCCGCTGGCGCGCTCGCCTGCGGCCGCTGACAAAAAATATCCCCACCAGCGGACTCGCCGCTGGCGCGCTCGCCTGCGGCCGCAGACTAAAAAGTACCCCCACCAGCCCATCCAGAAACGATCAGCAGGGGAGTTGGTGAATCGGGGGCGACAGGACGCATGCAGTCGCGCAGCCGTCTCGAGGAAAACAATGAGCACACATAGCTTCCCGCATTGAAGTTGAAGATGGCAATCAGTACAAACTACGATGGTGCTTCGATGAGGGGTGGTTAGGTGTTTCGATGGCTCGTAATGGCTGTTGCACTGAAAGCTCGCGTGGGTTTCGAAACTTGGAGCCATCTTGGGGTTCTCTTGGGGTTCTCTTGGGGCCCTCTTGGGGCCCTCTTGGAGTTTTTTCTTCGGGCTCTTCTTGGAGCTCTCTTGAGGCTCTGTTGGGGCGTCTTGGGGCCCTCTTGGGGCTCATTTTTGGGGCCTGGGGGCCTTCTTAGGGGCTCTTCTGGGGTGCCTAAGGGGCCTTTTTGGGGCCGTCTTGGATCGTTTCCGTAAAAAAGAGGGGTTCCAATTCCCATCGCCCCCTCGGAGGCTCAAACATGCAGTCTTGGGGCCCTCTTGGGCCGCTCGTGGAGCGCTCTTGGGCGCTCTTGGGACCCTCTTGGGCCCCTCTTGGGGCTATCTTGGGCCGTTTTGGGGCCATCGTGAGGCTTCACGAACCCATCGGAGGCGAACGTGCGAGAAGGCAAAACACATTGATTTCCCTTAGGTTTTTGTAAAAAGGATTTTCTCGGGGGGTCCTTGAGGCCTCGGAGGGCACTTGAAACCGTCTTGGGGCCGTCTTGGGGCCTCTTGGACGTGTGTCGGAGGCTATCTTGACCCATCTACCGCTATCTTCGACCATGTTGGAGGCCATCTTGCGCTCTCTGAAGCCCTCTTGGAGCCATCTTGGACCAAAAAGGACCCTCTGCCACCTCGCGGGGGAGCCCGTCCAGACGCAGGGAGGGTGGTGGTGGTAAAACTCCCGAACATGGGAAGGCAGGAGGTTGGAAAAGGAAATGCTTTAGACCACCTGCGCCCAGAGGGCTGGTGGGATTCAGGGAGGGGAGGGGGACGGTTCCCCTCCCCGCAGGGAAGAGGGGTTGTGGAAGAGGAAAGAGACCCTCCTTAGGCCACCTGTCGCCCAGAGGGTTCGTGGGATCAGGCATCGCGGGCTCAAGCAGCTCCTGCCTCGCGCAGAGCCGCCGCGTCCTCGCGGCTGCCTGCGCTGCTCTGGAGCTGCTGGGCCGTTGCCTTGTGCAAGGCCACGGACAGCTCTGCGCCCCAGCGCTAGCAGAGAGCGCCACAGACCGCCCTGGCCCTCTCCTCGTCGACTGCTGGAGGCGGCCAAAGGAAGCACCGGCCAAGGGCAACGGCCTTCGGGGTACCGCTGCCTCTTGTCCGCGTCAGCTGCGGCAGCCCCTGCGCCGTCACGGCCAGCGGCCGCGGCCAGGCCCTCCGCGTCTCCCGGCACGGCGTACCAGACTGTCACATCTATGAATATATTCGGACAGCCCACGCGTTGTGCCTCTATATCGAAGATGGCTTCCTCTCTGCGGGAGTCGACGGGCTGGCCGCAACCGCCGCAGGCGCCGGACTGCTGGTGGCCCGTGCCTCGAGTGTCGCAGCTCTGGCAACGCCACGTCCACTGGTCCCAGCTGGGGACGGGGACCTGCCGGGCCGTGTGGTAGCCGCATCCGTTTGAGTGCGCTGCCACACGTCCTCGACGTCCCTGCTGCGCGACTTGACGCCGCCGCCGCAGGAACACAGAAAAGCATGGTCGGATTTGCCGCAGAGTCGCTCGCCACAGGCCCAGCCTGCGCGCGGGCCTGTGCGGGTGCGGTTAGCGCAGAGAGAGTCAGGCGGAGCAGGTCCTGGCCTAAAAGCGCGCGCGCTGTCAGGCAGAGCTCCTCTCAGTCGCTGCCCCGCAGCCCCCCGGCGCGGCCTGCTGCCAGGCGGCCGCGTGCGGCCCGCCGCAGGAGCCCAGCCTCGCCTTTTCCTCGCTTGTGCAAGCGCTCCGCAAGGCCGAACAGTTTTTCTGGTCAAGCCTTCGCGTGAGCTTGTTCCGCACTTCGGTGCGGGGTTCGTGGGCGAGGGTGGCCCAGGCGGGCAAGGCGTCGGCCTCCCCCAGCCCGCCGCCAGGCGGCGCGGTGCCGGGTTGCGGCGGCGGCTGCAGCAGGAGGCGGGCGGCCCGGCAGGCTGCGGCCAGGGGCTGCTCGGCCAGCTCCAGGTCGTCGAGCGCCGCCATGCCGGTGCGGGCCCGGACCTCCGCTAGGCTCTGGGCCCAAGAGCCAGCCCAATCTGCCGGGGCCAGCTGCTCCTGGCTGCGGAGGCCCCGACCGCCGAGGCGCAGTGGCAGTTGGCAGGCGCAGCGGCAGTTGGCCCCGACCCCCCAGCCCCTCCTCCCCCTCTCATCCCTACTCCGCCCCCCTCCCTCCTCCCTGACTCCCTCGTCCGCCCGCCCCGATGGCGACGAGGAGGAGGAGGAGGAGGAGGACTCAGCAGGGCTCCACCCTCTGCACGAGGGGCTGTTTTCGGACGGCACGGGGCCACGCGTGGCGGGTGGTCAAGGTGTAGCTGGTGACTTGGGCCTCAGCCATTCTCGCGCGTCTGATGTCGTCTGCTCGAGCCCTCTCGCATGCGCCGGCTCGGCATTTGTACCTGCAAAGCGCCACCACCTTCCGCTTCCATTGCGGGCTGTCCACGGCTGCGCTAATCCACAGCATGCAGATGCAGACGTTTGCCTCAGCTTCTCTCGCCTGCTTTCATCCAGTGCTGTAATTGATGGCGCTCGGTTCCAGCTCTTCGCACAATGGGCGTATTCGCTTCCATTCTCCGGCGTTCATCCCAGGTCTACAGCTGAAGATGTGTGGACTCCAATTGATTCTTTCACATCCGCTCCCAGCCTCGATCGTTGATCCCAAAATGTTGTAGCTGATTGCGTTGGGGTCAAGCTTATTCTCACAAATTGTTGCTTCTATCCAGCTGCCTACGGTAAGGTCCGCTTCCGTGCCTGGGTTGTGGGTTACACGCCTAGTGGAGATTCGTTGTAATCTCGTGGGACCTCTTGGAGGCAGTTTGAGGCCTCTAGGGGGCCGTTTTGGGGCCTCTTGGGGGCGTCTTTAGGGCCCATGGGGGCCTCTTGGGTGCCTCTTGTGGCCTCTGGGGCGCCTCTCGGGGCCTCCTGGGGGCGCCTTGTGGCGGAAGGCTCGGATTTTCGGTTCGTGCTCCCCCTCTGGGGCTCCTTTCGAGGCCATCTTGGGGCCCTCTTGGGCCGTCTTAGGTGCCTCATGGGCCATCTTGGGGCGCGCTTAGGCCGTCTTGGGTCCTCTTTGAGGCCTCTTGGGCGGTTTTGGGAAGGTATTTGGGGGCCTCTTGGGCCGTCTTGGAGCGTCAGAAAGCCGAAAAGGCGAGAACTCCAAGATTCTTCAAACTCGAAGAGAAGATCACTGATGTTTGCCCGTGTGGGCCCTCTTGGGAGACCTCTTGGAGGCCCCTTGGCCCCCTTGGAAGCCTCTTGTGTCATCTTGAGGCCATCTTGGGCGTCTTCGAGCGATCGTTCGGCGATTCGGGGCCATCGTGGACTGTCTTGGGGGTCTCCTGGGCCGTCATGGATGGATGCCGTGAAGAGCCCCAGGGAGGCGCCATAGCCGCCATGGGACCCCCTGGGAGCATGGCTGATGCACGCGACTTTACGCGGCCCGGACGGGGGGTGGCCCCTTGGAAGATTACAGAAACCCTACCAGGCAGCACTTGGCTTCCTAGCACGCCTCAGCGTGCCACGTGGCGCGGTGGCGGATTCCCTGGTCGTTTGCCCCAAGCAAGGATCTATCTGAAGAGTGGTGGGTATACTGTGGCTGAACGCGTTGGGCTCCAGCCTATTCTCACAGCGGCTTTTCTTTATTGGTGTGTTGACTCATGGACTGTAGCTGAAGTCGTTGGGCTCCGGTTGTCCTCACATCTAGTTCTATTCCCAGGTGTATTGGCCCCTGGGCTGTAGCTGAAGGACGAGGAAGAGAACGTGGACGAGGACGACGACGAACCCGAGCGGCCCCTCAGGTCCGTCGGCGATCCGAAGGACGCACCACCGAAGCTGCTGCTGCTGGACGACTTTCTGGGCACGCCTGTCGCCGCCTCCGCTGCTTTGCCGTCGCCGTCGCCGTCGAAGTCGTCGTCGTCGTCGTCGTCGTCGTCGTTGTTGTGGTTGTTGTTGTTGTTGTTGTTGTTGTTGTTGTTGTTGTTGTTGTTGTTGTTGTTGTTGTAGTGTTGTTGTTGCTGTTGCTGTTGCTGTTGCTGTTGCTGTTGCTGCTGTTGTTGCTGTTGTTGCTGTTGTTGCTGTTGTTGCTGTTGTTGTTGTTGTTGAATATTATTACTTCTAAAGAATAATTATTGTTGGGCCCCCTGGTGCACGCCCCCCCCGCCGCGCCTAGGCCGCAGCCACGTTTTCATCATTTTCGTGAGGAAGCCTCAGGCAAAACGATGTCATCCAGATCCGGTTGTTTTGTTGACGCCCGCTTTCCCTTGAAAAAAATAAACTACAGTGGACATTTCTTGTTCTAACATATCCAAACTTCAAGAATCCCTTGCAAAAAATAAGGTAAAGTGGACATTCGCGCGCGCAAGACGAAATCCTTCCAAAACCTTAGTTTTCGTAGCGATTTTAACATAAAAACATCAAAAAACCAATGGTTTTTCAACAAAAAAATGTCAAAATTTCATCCCGCGCGCTCTTGCGGATTCGTAGGAAACCCAACACTTTTTAAACATTTCTGTCAAACGGGCTTTTGCGAGCAACTTTTTCGAACTTCTGCAACAACGGTTGCGCACCTGCCAGGGCCATCATCCCTGTCAAATAATACCATGCGGGACACATTCGTTTTTTCTTCGCGCGCGCACGCCGTCGTCGTCGGCCGCGGGGCCCTGAATAGTAGCCACGGTCGTCCGCATGCCACGAAGTGAAGTGTCCGAACGTCATAGGGCGGGAAGCTGGGTGTGGGTGGTGGCGAAGAGTCGTTTGGAAATTTGGTAGAGCTTGAACCGGCCCCCCCACAAAGTGGGGGTATTGCCCGCCTCCTATGAAAACCCTGGCACTGGTGAGAACGGAGTGTCCCCACGTGCTAGTAATTGTTGTTGTTGTTGTTGTTGTTGTTGTTGTTGAACTCTCATTTCTGAGGAATAATTATTGTTGATCCCCCCTGTCCGGTGCCCATTGTTTTTTTCAATTTAAGTGCTTCCTCTGGGGCTCGCACCCTGTTTTTTGACAGGGAAAGCATTGCGGATCAGATTGCGTTGTTGGGCCCCGGACTACAACAACAACGGCTCCCGCCTGAGACTTCCTTACAATTTACTTAGGACCCCCGCTCCCGCCTGAGACTTCCTCACAATTTACTCCGGAAGGGCGCTCCCGCTTCAGACTTTCTCACATTTTACTCAGAAACGGCGCTCCCGCTTGAGACTTCCTTAATCAGGACCCCTGCTCCCGCCCGAGACTTCCTCATAATTTACTCAGGAATGGCGCTCTCGCCTAGGACTTCCTCGCAATTTATTGCAGCGTCGCGTTCTCGACGCTCAGGAACCACGCTCGCGCCAAGGACGCCCTCGCAATTTACTTAGGAATCGCGCTCTCGCTTAATGCTTCCTCGCAGTTTGCGCAAAAATCCCGTTTGAATGTCCCGCCCGCCCGACCCGCCCGCCAGGGTCCGCCCGCCCGACCGGCGCTCCCGCCTGAGACGTCCGACAATGTACTCGGGACCCCCGCTCCCGCCCAACTCTTCCTTGAGGAATACGCCCTCGCCTAGGACTTCCTCGAACGTTCACACTCTTACCCTCCTGCCCCTTCCTCCCCATCCAACCTCCCTCCTCCCTCCCCTCTCCCTCATATCCACCCTCCTCCTCCCTCTTCCTCTCTCCCCTCACCCTCCTCCCATAACCCTCCTCCCTCCTCTCTTCGCCCTCCCCTCTCCAGCCTCCTCCTTCCTCCCTCCTCTGTCTCTCTATCTCCAATCGTCCCCCCCCCCCTCCTCGCCCCCTCTCTCCTGGCGTGTTCCCCTTTAGCCTCGTCCCTCCCCCTCCCTTCCTCCCACTCTCCCTCGTTCTCCCCCTTCCTCTTCTTGCAGGGCCCGCGCTAATTCCAATGGTGGGCAAAGAGATGCGTGCCCCATCCTCCGAATAATTCCCCGCCCGTTCACGCCCGCTTGTCTAAGCCCGCCCGCCCCCGCAAAAAGAAGGACCCCCCCCAGAAGGGGGTACGCTCGAAGACGAAGGGGGCGGGTATCGAGGGCGTGGGTATACACGTTGCATGGCGCGCGGGCAAGTAAGAGCGAACAGTCTTAAAATGAATGTTGTTGTTGTTGTTGTTGTTGTTGATGACGAAACCACTCGCTGGCGCCGCCCCCCCCCCCGGCGCAACGCAACGCAACGCGACGCATCGCAACGCACGTTACCCCGAATCCTGTAGGATTCCGATGGGAATCCTATAGGGTCTCCGCGAACCTTATAGGAATCCTATAGGAATCTGGAATCTTATAGGGCCTTTACGAGTCCTATGGGCATCCCATAGGAATCCGATGGGAATCCGATGGGGCCTTTTACGAACCCGATGAGAATCTTATAGGAAGCCTCTTAGGAAACCTAGAGGACCTTTGGGATTCCTATGGGAATCCCATAGAAATCCCATGGGAATCCTATAGGGCTTTTAGGATTCCTATGGGAATTCCCTAGGAATCCTTTTTGGGAATCCTATAGGACCTTTACGCATCATATACGGATATTATAGGAATCCCTTGGGAATCTTATACGGCCTCTACGAAGCCTATAGGAATCCCTTAGGAATCCTATAGGGCCTTTACGAATCCTACAAGGATCCGATTGGATTCCTATGGGAATCCCAGAAGGCCTCTACGGATCTTATAGGAATCCAATTGGAATCCCATCGGACTCCTATAGGGTCTGATTCCTATGGGAACCCTATAGGACTCCGATGGGAATCCTATAGGGCCTCTACGAATCCTATGGGAATCCAACAGAAATCCTACGGGCATCTGAAAGGGCTTTTCCGATTCCTATAGGGATCCCATAGGAATCCGGTAGGGCCTCTACGAACCCTATAGGAATCCGATGGGAATCCCATAATAAGCACATGAGGGCCTTTACGAATCCTAAAGGGATCCTTTAGCAAATTCATAGGCATCTTACATGGCCTCTGCGAATCTTATCGGACCTATAGGAGTGGCATCGGACTCCTGTAGGGCTCGTACGAACCCTATAGGAGTCTTGTAGGAATATGATAGGACTCCCAAAGGGCCTTTACATTTCCTATATGAGTCCCATCGGAATCCCATAAGGCCTCTACGAATCCTATAGGAATCTTACATGCATGTTTATACGTATCCTATAGGGCCTCCACGACTCCTTTAGGAATCCGATAGGAATCTTATTGGAATCCTGGAGGGCCTCTACGTATCCTATCGGAATCCTGTAGGAATCCTATGGGAATCCTATAGGGCCTCTGCGGATCTTATAAAAGGGCCTAGACGAATCCTATGATAATCCCGCGGGAAGCTTTTACGAATGCGATGGGCTTCTGGCCTCACAGGGAGCTCCTCCGAAACTTCATTTCGGCACACCCCTCTCGAGGATCGTGGCCCTGGCCTCAGAGGGCTCCTCCGAAACTTCATTTCGGCACACCCTTCTCGAGGATCGTGGCCCTGGCCTCACAGGGTTTCTCCGAAGCTTCATTTCGGCACACCCCTCTCGAGGATCGCGGCCCTGGCCGCACAGGGAGCTCCACCGACGCCTCATTTCGGCACACCTCTCTCGAGGATCGCGGCCCTGGCCGCACAGGGAGCTCCACCGAAGCTTCATTTCGGCACACCTCTTTCGAGGATCGTCGCCCTGGTCCCACAGGGAGCTCCACCGAATTTTGATTTCGGCACACCGCTCTCGAGGACCGTGGCCCTGGCCCCACAGGGAGCTCCACCGAAGCACCATTTCGGCACATTTCTTTCGAGGATCGTGGCACAGACCCCACAGGGAGGCCCACCGAAATTTCATTTCGGCACGCCACTCTCGAGGATCGTGGCCCTGACCCCACACGGAGCCCCACCGAAGCATCATTTCGGCACACCTCTCTCGAGGATCGTGGCCCTGGCCCCACAGGGAGTTTTTTTCGTTCCCGTGCAGGCCCAGCTTCGAACTTGTTCTGCCGTGCAGAAGGCACGGCGGCGGATTTGACTCCCGTGGCTCTGGTGGTCTTGCGGCTGACGTGGGCACGCTCCTCTCCCTCTCTTCATTGTGGTTCAAGCCATTTGGGCATGCGCCTTCCCCCTCTGGGGCAGGCCACTGAGGGACGCCGGGCAACATGCCGGGACCCATGTGGATTCCATAGCGTCCCTTAGGGACTCTATAGCATCCCTTCAAGGATTCTATAGCATCCCTTCGGGATTCAATAGCAGCCCTTATGGATTCTAGAGCATCCCTCAGGGATTCTATAGCATCCTTCAGGGATTCTATGGCCCTTAGGGATTCTATAGCATCCTTTTCGAAGGATTCTGTAGCATCCCTCAGGGATTCGGTGGCATCCCTTAGGGATTGGCATCCCTTAGGGATTCTATAGCATGCCTTTAAGGATTCTATCGCATCCCTCAGGGAAATCTTTTGGCATCCCTCAGGGATTCTATAGCATCCCTTAGGGATTCTATAGCATCCCTTAGGGATTCTGTAGCATCCCTGAGGGATTCTATAGCATCCCTTAGGGATTGTATAACATCCCTTAGGGGTTCTGCAGCCTCCCGTTAAGGAGTCTATAGCATCCCTTTAAGGATTCTATAGCGTGCCCGAATGTTTAGGCTCTGGGGAGCGTACATAGTTTCAGTTTGTGGGAACGCATCGGCTTTCTCAAGGACCCCGAAGGATCCCAGAGGATTTTCCAACGGCTTCCTGTGTTCTCTGTTGCCAACCATATGTTGCGTTGCGTTGCGTTGCGTTGTGTTGCCGGGGGGGGGGGTCTGGGTCCACCAGTGAGATGTTTCGCCACAAGGAGCGAAACAGCGAGCTGGTGGACCCTCACCGGGTCCACCAGCCGGTTGTTTTGCCCCTTTGTTGTTGTTTGGAACGACGG